ATGCAGCTGTGTGACAGCATGTGCCAACAGCTCCCCACCAAGGTCTCCATGCGCCCCGTGAGAACCACGCCTGCCCGAGTGCATGCGAGCGTGTGCACAGACATGTGAAAGAGGGAAGCGGCGTTCAACATCCGTTCTGGACGGACGGTGCTGCTGGTCAACCAACTCCACTCCCAGCCAGTCCACGCCCGAGAGCGAGCTCAGGATTCTAGACCGCGGAAATCTCAGGCAGGTTTGTGACTCAACGTGGCGGCGTGCCGTGGATGTGGTCTCTAGTGAGAGATTTAGAGCCACGCCCAGCGGCGGCCTCAGAGTCCCAGTCAGGAGGACTTCACGGTGTCGCCTGAAGGACACTGTGCCCAGGGGCTCATGGGTCAGCAGGCCTGTGTCTTGCGGGGCCTCTGCGTGGACTCGCGTCCCCGACCTCCCGGTTAGCAGCCCTCAGTGCCCTCATATGCTTGGAGTGGAAAAGACCTTCTGTCTGTCCGTGTGCTGCCCCCCTGCCGGCTTCTCTACCTCCACCTTTCTACCTCCACCTTTACTGTCTGTCTGCGTGCTGCCCCCCTGCCGGCCTCTCTACCTCCACCTTTATGCACCCGATGAGTCAGCGATCCACTCAGCACGTCAGTCACTCTAGACAAGAAAGTAAAAAGGCCCTTCCCTGATAGAAAGACTGTCGGATGTACCTACGGATGCGACAACGTGCAAAGCCACAGGCTTAGTGCAAACTAGCCTTTCCAGGGAGTAAATTGAGACGCCTCCTTACTCACTCCCCGCCCCCCTCCCCGCCTTTGAGAAAGACACATCAGATCTGAAGGGACCCGCTTCTGGTCTTGGCAGGAGGGTGGCGTTTATCTACACCCCAAAAGCTAGACATTGGGGAGGCTGTGGGAGTGTTTGGTCTCCCCGCTAGCATCCCAAGACAAGAGGTAACTCAACCGTCAACCAAGGAGAAACCTGGGCTTCAAAGGGTCTGCAGGAGAATCCAATTATCTCTCCACTCGATCTGTCCCTGCACTTCTCCAA